TCCTAGAAATCAACTTTTCAGTTGGAAATGTGTGGTACTTTCCCACCTGCTCCACTGAGTGATACCAGCTGAAAGGTTCTCTGAGCTTTTGCCAAGGCAGAATGTGTGTATTTTTTTGACCACAGATCTGAGTTATCATGGAAATATTAGGAGAGGTGTGAGATGGGTTGTAAAATATGGAATTATTCATATCTTAGAGAAACCACTTTATGATCCTGAAAACCAGCTCAGATTCTAGGAAGGAAGGGAAAGGCTACATTAGTTTAGTATCTTTGCTGTATTCAAAATAGCTGTGCACATGGACAGAAGGAAAAACTTGCAAAGTAGCGAAGGAATGAAAATAAAATTCTGCAGAGATTTGCTTTTTCACTCAGTGTTTATGGTGGTAATAGTTAGTGATGGAAGAACTGCAAAAGATTTAGATTAATGGGGTATTAGTTTAGAGTTTCTTCCCAGTTTACATACCTCCAAATTTCAAATGCATTGCAAAAAATTATCTACATTTTTTATCTGCAAAAGCTAAGCTAGATTCTTCCTTAGGAGAGACTATTTGATAATGCACCTTGTGATTCTTTTTCTGAAAACTAAATCTGCAGTTAAGTTTAAACTTGAAGGATTGGGAATGAGGGTGTGCATGAGGAAAGACTGTGCAGAGAAATATGTAACATAACTTTCTCTGTAGCCAAGTCACAAAATATAACAAAAGGAGGCTGCCAATTTGTTGAGCTGTTTGTTAGGGAACCTGAAGAAAGGGGATATTGGCCTGCTTGAAAAACATTAAAGAAACTTGCTATTTATTATCCTGTATAAAGAACCACCCTACTTTATGGTGTCTATTTACTCTAGGGCTATTTTGTTTGGTTTGCTATGTGTATATTCAGTCTTTGTGATTTTCTTAATCTGGATTTTAGGGTGAGTACTTACAGCTGTTTATACTCTTTACCTAATGCTGATCCAAGGAAAATTTCAGGTGAATTGGGCACAAAAATTTATATCGGAAACTTTATTTTCAGTATTTGCTGTTTCATTCAAAGCAAAATTTCCCCCAGCACATGTTGACTTCTTGTAAAGAATTGTCATCAAAAAAAATTGTGAAGACAAGATTCAAACTTAAGCATTTTTAATGACACGTGGTTTCTTTGTTTTAGAATGATTCTCATTTTAAAATCTGTTTTCAGTTCCATAGTGAAACATGGTCTCTAAAGTGAAAATCGGGTAGAGGGGAAGCAGGGAAAAGGACAGACACCAGTATTTGTTCCCATTCATACTCAAAAAAAAAAAAAAAAAGTGCTAATTCACCATGGAATGGATAATTTGAGGTGCAATGAGCAGGAATCATGTCTTCGTCTGTTTCTGTCATATTCCCTTGGTTTGGGAAAGAAAGGTCTTATGCTGATGAAGTCCATATCACCTGTGGTTTCAGAAGGAGAACCCACTTGACTGGGCTGTGTCACCAAGAGCATGAACCTCATGTGTCTCACATGCCTTTGTAGTATGTGGGCTGTCTGTGCCCAGAACACGGTGTTGTATTTCAAACCAGATTACCCAGTGGTAGAGCAAAATGTCTAGTCCCAGCTGGAGACACAGAACTACATCCCTGTGCAAAAGTGTGATGTTTGACTGGCATTGGAGGAGGTCTCAATGTGATATAGGAAGGGCCTAAGGTTTGTAGCAAGCTTTTCCCCAAACATTTGTGCTCACATTTACTTTGGACAGTGCCTCTGTGATTAAAATTGCCTGTGATTTAAATTGTCTGAAAACTAGAGAAACAAATTATTACTTCAAACTTGGTCAAAATGCTGAGCTGATTAAACTTCTAAGTAGTATTGTTCTTGGTTTCCCTACAAAGAAAATTAAGGTAACATTGTTGACATTAATTTCTCAAATGTCTGAACATTCATCTCCCATTTAGAATCTGATTCTCCTCCTCTTTAGAAAGACATGGGACTCTAACATCACTACCTTGTAAGACTGGAATTAGAAAAACTGTATTATCCTGCCATTTTAAGGTGTAGTATGGTCCTCATAAAGACAAGGCTATCTATGTGAACTTCAGGTAATAATAATAGTGAGCATTAAGCGCAGGCTGTGGACAAAACCTATCAGCGTTGTAGGATTTTATCCTAGTTTTATTGGTCAATGTTATCCAAACCTTGCTGGTAGAAAGCTTGTAAAAAGGCTGACATTGAACCTTCACCCTCATTATGTGTTGATTGGCAATGCTGCATCTGCTCAGGGAATGCTGTGGAGGTCTTTGTAGAGAAACTTATCCTACACAATACCAAAATAGTCATAAGCAAATTTTATGGTTCTTCATTGTAATCCAATATTCCCTAACACTTGGAATTTGTCTGGGCACAGTCTTCAAGAACTCTTCCCAGTGGGTGTCTACCCCTCTCCATCCCTCTGCTAATGGATTAGGTGTGAAATAGTTAACGCTGGCGTTCTCAAAGGTTGTCCAAGCTAAGCTGAGTCACAAAAATGGTTGCTATTGCTTCAGTTTTTCTGTTGCAGATTCTAGACTAACACTCTGTGCACTTTAAATGGAAAGAGAAGCTAATTTTTGCAGCCATAAACATTAGAGAAGTTCTTAAGCAAAGGCTCAGATTTCATGATGCCTCTCACATGCTCCATCATTTAGGGTCATGTCTGACACTATTGAAAAAACAGAGAGCAGCTGTGCTCCTGAACATACTAATTTTGTGTGCCACTGTAGCCAGGACTGTGGTAGATTTAAAAATCTGTTTCAGAGGCTCTGAGTCCCAGCCAAGGTCCTGCAGAGCTGGCTGGATTTTTCCATTTAAAGCTTGTTCTTGTCCCCAGATGGCTTTGCATTGCGCTGGCTGGCAGCAGCAGGTGCGTGAGTGCCGAGTCATGCCACAGGAAAGGATCACAGAATAGAAATATTTCATCCTCTGTGTCTTGTTATCTCAGATGAGTTTGGGATAGCAATGCTGTTGCTCTAGGTAATCTGAACCTTTGAGGCTCTTCTCCATAGCACTGGGATCATACGCGCAATAAACTGTGTCCCCAAGCACAGGTGACATTTCTCACTCCAGTTTGTGAGTTACAGAATGTTTGATTAACCTCAAATTCTTTGCTATTGCCAAATGCTCACCTTGAAATTTCTGTGTGATTCAGTACAATCTCAGGGGCAATCTGGTTTGTTTTTTTTTTCTTTAGTAAGAGTGACTTCTTCCTTTCATGGTGTGTGAAAGTTTTCTATAAGTAAAGCTAAGTATTTCCAGCATCTTAAAAAGTATCTTTATGGGTCTTTCCTATTCTGAGGTAGTATGATTGGCATGTTCAACACTACCTTATCATCATTCTGACCTGTTAGATTTATTTTTACAGTGCTTTTGTAATCATGTCATGGGAATGTAACAATTCCAAAGCAATGGCAATCAAATACTTGATCATTCTATGCTGCTTGCGCTCTGCTTTTCTGTTGCCTATATCCTCAGCTACTGAATTCAAAAACTTTTGATTTCTTATACACTTACATTGAGGTACAATGTAGAAACGAACCCAAAAATGGCAGTTATTCTTGGAATTAAAAACTATAATGAGATTGCAGTGACCCCCTAATCCACTACCTTTAATTTACTAGTGATTCTTAGTGAAACGCTTCACAGAGGAGTTGAAAGTTGGCAAAAAAATACGGTCTTCAAAATTTGGCTCCAGCTGATTTTATATCTAGAAGCACAACTTGGATGATCTTCTGCTACTGGTTAATTAAGTCTTATGTTTTTAGCCTTCAATTAGATGTAAAACATGACAAACATTATTAGCAGATTTGCTGGCCAAATATGGAGAGATGTCATATATCATTCTGACTCCTTTAAATTTGCGCTCTTAAAGCATGTATGCAACTTGTCTAATAAAATGTCTGTATGTATGAGAGGTAAAAAGGAAACAAATTTCACATCTCTTCCTCCGTTGATCTGTCTGCCTGTGTCCCTGTTCAGTGAGTAGGGCAAAACTCCCCTTTCATTTTTTTTCAATGTTTCTTGGACTCTTACCAGCAGGTTTTTACAGTCTGTTGCCTGCCTCTCAGATTAGAAGAACACTGGCATATTTTAACAGTTTCCTAGGATCCAAATAGTCTTTAATTAACAGAGAATTGATGTTTTGGAGTACAACCAATATAGGAGACACTGAAAGCAGAGAATGAACTTGGATCCTTCCAGCTTGTAGCTGGCTGTGGCCAGGGGCAAACAAATAAGCAAAATAAGGTCCGCTGCAAATAGGTAGTACCTTATTGGTATGCAAGGGGATTTCTTCATTTGCTTTACATTCCCACAGAGCTGGTGGTTTGCTGGGAGGAGATTTCTGCTTCACACGGTCTGAATCAGCTCCACCCCTTGCAAAGAGCAGAAAGTGTTCATTGGTACCTTCCCATAAACAGAATTTCAGTGGCTCCTGAAACTGTTATTTTTAAATTTGTATTGATCAACTGTTGAGGCAGCAAGGTATGTTCTGTTTGTGAGGTTTAGGTTGAAACAGAAGCCGTTGGCTCCATGAGTGAGCATTTAATTAAAAAAACAGAAGTCTGCAAATAACATGACTTTTGCTGAGCTGTGCAGCAAGTTGTTCTTTATCTTTTAGAGTTATCTGCCTTTGTAGGGTTGAGCAACAGGGTAGGAATGAAGTGCTGAAATTATAAGAGAATGTAAGTAGCTGAAGGTCTCAAAAGAAGTTAGACATATGCTGAACTGTTGTTCCAGATTGTCCATGGAAATAAATGGTTTATAAGGTAATTCTAATCACAATGGACTGAAAACTAAAGCAATTGCTGGCAAAGAATTATAACCAACTTGGTCACTGAGTCAGCTGTGCTTTTTTTCACTAATGCAGTCATTTTTGGATAAGTCAAAATGTATTTGTTTGATCCAGTATTGTCTTTTTATTGTTTCTTTGTGTGTGGGCGTGCTGGCTTTTATCCCCCCCTGGCTAATCACATCGCCTGCTGAATGCTTTCTGTCTCTTTTTGCATGCAGGTGGTACATGCCAGAGCCCTGCTCTCCCAGCCCTGGTGCGTCCTCCTGCACCTCCCTTGCAGCCATCGCTGGATATTAAGCCGTTCCTCCCGTTTCCTCTGGACACTGCCGCAGCAGTGAATCTCTTCCCCAACTTCAATGCAGTAAGTACTCTCCCAACAGTTACCCTGAGCCACAGCTTCCATGGAAGACTCCAGAGGGCACAAAGTAGGATTTTATGTACTTCATTCAACCTGGAATATCCTCTCCCTTACTGAGGGCCAAATAGCTGTTTCCGACACGCTGATAGGCCATAAATTGAAGCCTACCTGGGTGTTAGTCAGAAGAAATATAGAAAGAAAATTATTATATGATCCCAAGTGACATGCAATAACGTTTCAGGCCATATTCAGTCCCAGGGTTTGTGAATATCCCACAGTAATTTAGGACGTGCAGAGCTTCACTAACTCTCAGAGAGGAAAAGTTTCAGAGCAATGGGATTCTACGTCCCATCTCCAACACACTTCCTGAGAAATACTAAACATTTACAGAGCCTAAAGAAGAAAACTCTTTAATAACATAAGAATTAAAGCAATTAGCTGCTCTATGAGCTATTCAGTAGGAAACAATCCGGGGTATTTTTTTCAGGTTAAGATGTGTTTTTCTCATGTCTTAGGTTTAAACTAGGATAGTTTTCTCCCTTTTTTCTTTTACTTAGTCATGCTATGTATGATTATAGTAATCCTATTTCTTCATTAGTATTTCAGTTATTTTACTGACATATGTCATCAATGTTCCAATTTTCCTGTTTCAGGCTGAGATAATTACTGCTCTAAAAAACAAAAGGGTCTGCATTGGTTTTATGTTAGTTTTGACTTTATAAAATTATGCCCCTTTTCAATTAATTTTGGATGCTCTCTTCCATGTTTACATATACTCTATATACAAAAAAACCCTCTTAAGAATATTTGTGCTTACCTACTTTGAGAGACAGAGAAGGGCTGGATGGAATTTTCCATTCTGAACCAATTCTAGAAATCTTAATTAAAATAATTAAGAGTAGTAAAGGAACATATGCATTTTAGAAAAAAAAATTATAGCAATCAATAAGAAATTTCTGTATTTAAATATTTTTCACCTTTCATAGATGTTCATTTTGCTTTAAAATAATTAAAATAAGCTAATTGTCAAAACTATTTATACAGTCTTGAATTCAAGAAATTCACAGCATTAACAGAGAAACTACAAACTAAAGTCTTAAAAAACACAGAAGCAATATGTCAGTGAACCACTATTACAAGTAAACTTTAAATTTATAGGTGTGTTAGTTTGCTGCAAGGTTTTAAAATGGTCTGGGTTTAACCAAGGTACTGACAACCCATAATGAAATGGATACAATGTTAGACTTGTTTTGTGTGTTTTAGAGTTGAGATCTTTTAACCAGTTGTGCCTTGTGATCACTGTTTGTAGCTAATGCAATAGGCCAGCTGAATTTTTAAAATATATCTATTAGAATTTCTTGTATTTTTCTTCCTCGGGATTTTCCATGGTTCAGAGTCTTAAAATTGTTTGCTAATTGTTTAATTATATAGCTGAAATGGAATTTTAATAATGAATGTTAATAATTGTTAATCCTGCGTTACTCTATAAATTTCCAGTTTCTTTCCTCTTACACAAACTGCTTTGCTACTATAATTATTTTGAGGGAGGGGTGGATAAGTCATGCTTATATTAATTTGGAAGTAAGAAAGTAAAAATAGACTCTTATCAAAACCATGTTATTCCTGAACATTATCTTAGTAGCATATAATTTGGTAAGAGCACGGGTGAAGTGAGCCTAGTTTTCAGGGGTGAGACTTGAACCCCTTTTTAACAGCATTCTGAAATCTGTTCCCATGCAAAATACTGCTTGCTGTGATGTGTGGCCATCTGCCAAGTCCACCTTTGGCAGATATGTCAGTCCTGAGTGTGAGGATGCTGTCATCAGAGCTGCTGTCACCTGCCTTGCTGTTCATAGTTTATGCCTTGCTAAGTGAATTGTTTATGCCTTGTTAAGTGACCTTTGCCTTCTCATCATGTGTGCTGACATGCAGCATCATCCTCCATGTTCCCATTTTCTTTGTGAACAGCACATTATTGAACGCTGCTATGTTTAGCTCATATGCCAGGGATGGTTAGCAGCAACCTCCAAATGTATAAACTAGCTGAGTAGTTTTGCACAGTTCCAGAAATTCTCTCCAAGCCAACAAAACTTTTGGGGACACATCAATCGCTGACCATTATCTGCCCAAGGGGAAGTTAACCCACACATCATGTTAAACAGAACTTCTGTCAGGGGCTTCATTATGTGAATGTGAAATAGAAAAAAGAGTTTAATAAAAAAATTATCTTCATGAATATGCCTCTTCATGATCGACTGTAACTGTTGATGATGCTTTTTCTTTGTAGACTTCACTGACAGTCCTATGCAGTGTTAGTGGAGAATCATTTATGCTCTGGGCTAAACACAGGTCAAACAAGTGGTCCATAACAGAGCACCTGAACTGGATGGTCTCTCTCGTGTTGTCAATAAATTATTATTTCTCTTGACTGAGACATGAGGGTCATAAATTGAGTCATAGGAAATGGATTTCTAAAGATCTCTTGACCCTCACAGGAACAAATTCCACAGGAACAAATGAGTTTGGCAGCATGTCTGGACTACTTCTCAAAAGGCTAGCGGGAAGTCCAGAATTTTGGCCTTTACTGGCCACTTTTCAACAGCCTTCACTTGAAAACAGCATAACCAAGTTGAAACTTGAATAAAAGTTCAGACATATTTCAGAGAAAATAAGTAGTCTCTCACAATCCTAATTAGTGTGAGAGTTTGGTTGTGATGGACAAAGGCATCTGAGCTAATCAGCCTAAGCGTCTTCACAAAATATAATGGAGAAAAATCAGCAATTTCTCCAAGTTATGCATGGATAAAAATGCACAAAGGTAACTTGCAATGCAAGCTGTATATATACTTTGGCATGAAGTGAAGTGACCCCTGAAAGTTCTCATTCATCTATTCAGACTGTAATGAGGGACTGGTTCAGCTGCATCTACATTTAGATGAATCTCACATTATGGGATTGGTCATAAGCTATTCACAGCTCATATATTAAATTCCACTCAGAAATCACATGACAGAAGTGCTGACATTGTATTGTATGTTTACAGAGGAATGCTCCCATTTATTAAGCAGTTATGCTTCTAATTTTATCTAAAGACAATCTTCAGGGAATTTGAGAATTCAGATGAACTGGATAGAAATATTAGGAGAGATGGAAGCAAAAGTAACTTACCAGTGGAGAAAGTTAGACACATACATAAGAATTAATAAAACCAAATGCCTTAAGTATTGCAAATAATCCTAATAAAGTGTATTTTTTTTACATATTTCACTCTATTTCAGTTTATTAAAAGCATACAATTTCTTTATTTGTTACTGATGACTTTGCTCCAAAACCAGCTCAGTTTTTGCTGGCTTCCTCTGAAGAAAACATTCAGCACTGATTTCCACAAAGGCAAAAGCTTTCATTGAAGCAGAGACTAGAAGAGATAACATGGAGTATGCAAACCTATATCAGTAATATCCTCAGACAGAGAGTAGAGGGAAAAGAAAAAGACTGAGTAACCTGAGAAAAGTTAGGAAGATAATGTTTGAACCTTTGAACCATACAGTTTCAGGAGGAATATTTTCTATTTATATGAGAAAGCGTAAGGCAAACATAGCAATTAACAATCTGGTTAGCTGAACATTTGTAGGTGCTACGTCCTTAATTGTGAAGCAAATGGGTACCCTCAAGTCACATGTAAAAGGAAATTGTAACAGCACAGCTGTTTAAACTGAAAACACCCCACTAGAACAGACCCTGAAGAATCCCAGGTTCACTGCAAGTTTATCTGATCTAAAAAGATGAATCAACTGGATGGGATTTAAATGGCTAAATTTTATTTTATGAGAGAAACTATGGCTATAAATAATGCTTATGTAGCCTTCTAAAATAGGATTTTTAAATAGGAAAAATATTTTAAGACGAATGGAAAATAATTAAAATGTTCTGAAAATAATTTGAGATCATTTAACAAATATTTGTTATATTTCTGCATTTTCATCTACAGAGAGAGAAGCTGCAAGTCTGCATACGTCTAAGAATTAATTCTTAGAGATGCAAAGCTTTAACAGTTGCATTAATCATGTACTAGTCTTTGCATGTGAATGTGCATATTGTGTTCATGAGCCAATGGTTTGTTGCAGAGAAATTTCACAAAGCAACAAAGTCTCAAAGGTAACTAACTTGTAGAAAAATGTTGTTGGGTCTCTGGTCTAAGAGGAGATGCTTAGTTTTGCAAGATATCAACATCAACCCTAAGCTGATGGACCCTATGACAGAAAAAAATCTTATGTAGACTTTTTGGTAGTTTCCAAAGCACAGATGCATCAGAAACTGGGTTTTGCCTATTTCCAAAGTTCTCAGGATTATACATTTCAGTCTCTTGATCAGAAGACACAATTTAAAGTTTAGAAATACGGGACATTTGCCATTACAAGGTAAATTGGACAGTGCATTGCACTGTTTGTTTATTCTTTGAAGGATATGCTGACCATCTTTCTGAAAAAAATCTAAAAAAATATTCTATCATAGTTTGTAATATAAGCATGATCTGTAAATGAAGAGGTACACAGTGTAGAAGATCTGAATAAATGCTTGAAAACAGAAAGAGCGATTTTGCTTGCAAAGTTCCATCCCTAACTCCAAATCAAAGGCTTGTTGTTAATACAAAGTTTTCCAGATAAGCATGCTTTGGAAAGAAACATCACTACAGTTTTGCCTAGAAATGTATGACTTGGAAGAGCAGTGGCAATGCCAGAGTTGTACTAAACATTCATGGAAAATGAACTGTTACTCTACAGACAAGTTTCTCATGATCCATCTGTAACAATCCTTGTTCAGTTCCCTGATTTTCTTGTTTGCTTGTTCTATGCCAATAGCCCCTGGTTTATTATTAAGAGCTTCCTATTTCACCTTCCCCTGGTTATGGGAAAGGAGGAGGAGGAGTTAACAGTGTCCATTGCCTGTAGGTTGGGGCTGTAGTGGTAACTTGGGTTAGAGTGCTAGTGTGCTGCTCCTTGCTT